TCTATAAGGTCCCTTCCGACCCTACTTCTATGATTCTATAGTACTCTGATTGTGTAAGAACTTCCAATTCTTCCCAGGCTTGTTTCCCAAGCTCTGTGCATTCATGTACAGGCACCTGAGTCACTTGCCATGATTTCTCATGAAGTATGAGAGCACCTCCTTTGTTGCCCCATGCTGCTTGCTCTTCCTCCACATCTCTCACTTCCCCACTTTACCTCAAGACTTTGGTCTCCAATCCCCAGTAAGCCTAGTCAGCATCAAGCCATGAGTTGAATCTGAACAACCCAGTTTTGTCATTCTGCATTAGTGCCCCACACAACACTAAATTGGAATAACTTCGAAGAAGTTCCTTTCATTGAAGTCCCTTTGGAATTTCTCCTTTATCCCTCAGCTCTTCTCCTTCCACTCATTTTGACTAGGGCAATTCCACCTGATTATGCTTCCTTGTTACTTTACCTGGAGCCAGAGTTTGTCATGCTGGGACCACTTGCCCCCTGCAATGCACTGGAACGTTGCATTCTGTCCCACGTTGACCTCCACGTTCTGAAGCCGCAGGAAGTGAGGTGCTTTTCCTAAAAAAAAAGGAAGAAAAAGATGCAAAATATTATGTTAAGAGCATGACAGTAATTGACAAGGTCTTACAACCACTAGGATATCCTTACTTAGTAGGTATGAGGGCAATACTAGGTCTACCCTTTGACCAAGTAACTTAGCAAAGCAAAGCAAAGCTGTATTGTTTAGTTATTTAGCATGGAGAGATTGGTAATATACAGGATGGCCAGAGTGATCATATAACACTTTGGCACAGCAAGGAAGTGCACTAAGTTTCAGTTCTACAACATCAGTTCACAATTACTTGTCACCAGCAGATGTTCACTGTTGTTTGCTACAAGCAAAGAGCAATTTCTGCTGTATAACAGGGAAATATCAACATTTACAAAGGTCAAAAAAATCAAATAGCCATGAGATTTCAGAGCAAACATGGTCCAAAGCAATTTTTCATATGCTTTTTCAGTTTTGCTGATTGCCAAGTGAATCCTAGGGAATCAGACCTGACACCATCAAGCACTCCTGATTTTCAAATTATATTTAAAAAATCCATCCCATCATTCACATAAATAAGCACAGACCACTGTTTTTCAAAACTAAACAACAAAGTCAGACTTCTCCATTTGACAATTAATATAGATCATGTAAGGCTATGACCATTATCACAGTGTATATAACCATGCTAGAGTAAGGCTGGTCCATAACTTAACTCCTGAAAGTAGGATCTCATGAAGTAAAGGCCATGTGCTGTTCTGAACTTAATTCAAGTTCACTACTAAACTTAGGATAATATTAAAGAATTATAGCAGATAACATTATTACAACTAGTCCTCTGTTAGGCCATGCTTTTCAAAAGCAAATAAACTATGTTTTCTGTTAAATAACTGGAGAAGGGTATGGGCACCCATGTTTATACATGTATATCCCCTTTCATGTAGGGGTAGCTAGATACCAACTATAAGCATGCACACATGCAAGTGTAGGCCAGTTTCGCAGGCACATTATCAGAAGCTGGTCAAACAGCTGAAACATCCTGTGTGCATGCCTCTGAAGTATTTATCATTCATCTGGGACTGCAACCAGTCCAAACAGATAAAACAGATGATCTAGGGTAACACTGTACTATCATTCTTTTAGCTAGTCAGTTGTTTGTGGCAAATCTCTTGACAACTGAGCCCTGGGATGAACCATGGTTACACAGGACTTTTATCTTATCAGCAAGGCCTTAGCACAGAGTATAACTGCTGTTACAGCAAATTATTTTATCACAAAAAAGCTGTATAATTGAGATATTTAATTTTCTCTTTTACCACATCCTTAAGGGCTGTTTCTCTCCACTTCCACTGCACTTGTCTGTCAGGCTAAGATCTGCGAAAGTGCAGAAAAACTCATGTGGAAATAATAAAAAAAAAGATATCATAATTCCAGTCACCTCAAAGGTCACTGGGAGTTCCACCATTGCAATGTTCTGAGTAATAACAATTGTAAAATGAATGTGAGGGACAAAAGCCATAAAAGTGAACAGCACACTTCACTGACATTTACTGTGGTGGCTATCACTGCTGAACTCTGAAGGTGATTCTGGGAAGTAAAAAAGGAGAAGTGCTGCTAAAGACTGACAGGGTTTTACACACTTTAGAAAACACTATACACAACAGACTGAGGACTTATCCCAATGGGGTATTGTACCTGTGGCTTGGCATTGTATGCCACTATCAGTCACTTTTTAAAACCTGAACTTTTGTGCCTCACATGCTCAGTTCCATCCAAGGCAAGTATAGCAGCCAAATTAGACAGTGGTAGGAAGGGAGTGGTCTGATTATGGCAGGGGAAGGCAAAAAAAAGGCCAGCAGGCCACATCTGGCATGCCAGGCCATTTTATCTGACCCACATGGCCCCTAATATCTTTGGAAAATTAACTTTTATCTGTCCCTGGCTGCTGTCCCTGGTCTGTCAAAGATGACCGGTGCCAGTGGTGGCAGGACCCAGTCACTGAGCAACAAGGCCTGCCCGACTCCTCCCTGTCCCCAGTCTGCAACTCCCACCTCCAGCCCCAAACCAGAAGCCTCTGTGGCTTCTCGCCTAGTGACCCTGGGGCTGTTCCCTGCCTCCCTCCATCCAAGTGAAAAGGAAACATCTGTGATCTGCCCAGCAGCCAGGAACTGCATGGTATTGGCCAGGGTGGGCTGGAACCAGAGTGGGAGAGGGGAGGGGGTTGGAGGGAAGTGGTGGTGGCACAGGGAGCATCAGGGGGGCCACATGAAGTGGCAGGGAGCTACAGGGGGCAGTGGCAGTGGGGGGAGCAGCAGGGGCCACAGGAAGTGGCAGTGGTGTGGGCAGCAGCAGGGGGATCATGGGAAGAAGCAGTAGTGAGGGGACTGGCAGGAAGCGGCAGCAGCATGTAGAGTGGCAGGGGAAGTGGTGACAGCACAGGAAGTGGCAGGAGAGACACAGAAAGTAGAAGGGGCACAGGGAACAGAGGGGGCAGCAGCATGGGGGCCATGGAAAATGGCAGGGTGTGGTGGAGGGGTTGGGGGAAGTAGCAGTAGCAGGGGGAGTGGCATGGGGGACACAGAAAGGAAAGCAGTGGGGAGCGACGACAGTGGGGGGAGTGGTGGTGCCTGGGAAGCAGTAGCAGGCAGTCGTGTGGGAG